ATCTTAGTGTCTTTATGTAGAGTTAATATTATAATAATTCATAGTCCAATATCTTACATACATACATACATACATACATACATCCATACATACATACATACATACACACGTCAACACCCGAGGACGAGTTACTACACCACGTGACCTACATAAGAAAATAAATTGTCTGCAATAGGCCGGTTGGCCTGTGCATGGCAGCTCCTGTCGGGAGTTACATCCACTCTCTATCGTCGATGAATCTATCAAACCTCCTTTTAAAACTTTCCAGCGTTCCAGCACTTACTACAAAGTTGCTAAGCTTGTTCAACTCATCTACCACCATATTTGTGAACCAGTTCCTTCCTATCTCCCTCCTAAACCTAAACTTATCCAACTTAAATCCGTTGCTCCGAGTTCTATCCTGCTCGGATATTATAAGAACTTTCTCGATATCTCCTTTATTGATTCCTTTCACCCACTTAAATACTTCTATCATATCTCTCACTAGTGACCTCAAACAGTATAGCAAGAGACCAGCCCGGGCCATCAACTGTTAACTATAATATTTTGTATGTTCAATTCACGCTCTTCTCCTTTTAGTAATGAAAGGTCATGTTAAACGACCCACCTACCCCATGTCTTTGTATTGTGAGGTCCCTCCTTGCTACCCACAACATTGAGGAAAGGCAAAGTTGACAAGTAAAAATACAAAGTGAATAATCTAAGGGTTGAAACACGTGGATGCAGCAAGTAAGGGGCACTCAAGCAAGGATCACTGTTTGTGACAGACAAATTTAAGTTATGAAAGGAATAAGAAGATTATCGTGTAAACTAAGTAATTTAATAATATTTATATAAGTATTGATTTAGTTAGTTAATGAGGTACATTAAATAGCACAAGTAAAACAAAATAAGCAATTATCAAAACTAAAGTAGCAACTAAGCATTTGTCAAAACACACCAGAATATTACCCTATTATTCTTATATTATACATTAAATACACATATTATATATAACACAAAAACCTGTTAGAAAATGGCAGCTCAGGTAGCAAGTCTTGGTGCGACGGTCAACCACAAGGAACCAGGGATTAACGCCGTAGTCCACTACCATCAAACCATCACCAGCAGAAGTCCTTAATACAATTCGTCGTCCACAACCCGGGAGTAGAGGAACACAGAAGGCCACAGAGAAGAGAGTCAAGAGACTCCGCCTACCAGGCAGATACACTTGCCTCGATACCTCTGTCTCATAGTCAGGTGGGAAACTGGTCTCAGAGTTGGATGGGTAACTGGTTTGGAGACGGTGCTCACTGAGGTCGAGTAGCTTCGTGAATCAGTTTCTTCTCCTAGTGACCAGTTGTAGCAAGTGATGGCTATGGTGGTAGGGTGAGGAGGGGACATACATACATACAAAAGCATACACACAAACATACATAAACATAAATATACGCATATACATTCACACACACACACACACACATACAGTATATATTAATAAAACACGTTGATAAGTAGATGTTTTTTGATTCATCATAAGCACTCGAGTTAGCATTAAACAGAATATAGATTAATTTAATTTTCGAGATTGGAAAGACCAAGAGAATACTAGATTTTATTGCCTGCCTGCCTGCCTGTCTGCACTTCTAACCCCCCCATCCCCCTTCCCTACCTACCTCTCTCCATCCCATTGCTCCCATCCCACATGTTTCCCTCTATCCCACCTGAGCCCCATCCCCATCTCGCTTTTCCTTTATCCCACCTGCTCAACCTCATCCTATCTGCACCCCCCTACCTACCTCCCTCCATCCCACCCCCCCATCCTACCTATCCCTTCCCCCATCCTAGGCGATCACCCTATTAAATCCTATTACTCATATAACATCTCTATTAATATATTTCGTAGGGGAAAAATCCCTCTTATTAGAAAAAAAATCATTATCCCATTATTATTATTATTATTATTATTATTATTATTATTATTATTTTGTATCGTGGAAATTCAATGGCAGATATAATTGGAGTTTATGGTTAATCTTCTGAACTCCAAAACAATGCTGAGGTGACGGATATTGCAAGGATAACCGATGTTCTTTTTGTCAATATTGCAAGGCTGTTTTCCCTTTATTGCGCAAGATTTATTCCACTGTAGTATTGATGTTGCAGGAGTATTCATCACTTTTTTTTGTCAATATTGCAAGATTTATTACACTATAGTATTGATGTTGTAAGAGTAATTATAACCTTTTTCAATGTTGCAAGACTTTCTATATATTATGGCATGTGGTCTTCTCTCCTTTCTTCCTTCCTCCTTCTCTCCCACCCACCTTCCCTCCTTCTCTTTCCTTCCCTCCCACCCTCCTTCTCTCCTTTCCTTCTTTTCTTTTCTTTCCTTCCTTTCTTCCTTCCTTCACCCCTTCCTCTCACCTTTCCTTCCTTCCTCCTCCCTTAACCCTCCCATCCTCACCTATAACTTAACCTCACTTGTAAATTGAGGTTGAAAATTATATATAGAGAAACACGTAACATCAAGGGACTCCACTTGACTAATCAATCAATAACCAATCATTTAACTGTGAACAATGACGTACACCTGTCCAATCACCACATCATCCAGTCTATACTACGGAGTCACCCAGTTAGGTCTTGTAATCCAGTCTTTTATACCAGTTAGGTCTTGTAATCCAGTCTTTTATACCAGTTAGGTCTTGTAATCCAGTCTTTTATACCAGTTAGGTCTTGTAATCCAGTCTTTTATACCAGTTAGGTCTTGTAATCCAGTCTTTTATACCAGTTAGGTCTTGTAATCCAGTCTTTTATACCAGTTAGGTCTTGTAATCCAGTCTTTTATACCAGTTAGGTCTTGTAATCCAGCCTTTTATACCAGTTAGGTCTTGTAATCCAAGCCTTTATACCAGTTAGTCTTGTAATCCAGTCTTTTATATAAGTACAGGTAATGAGAGAGTTTGTACCCTGTTGAGTCTTGGGTAATGGTCTGTATAAAAATATATATATATTTCTTTTCTGCTAATTTTTTAGGTCATTTATGGCAGTGGAGTATACAGGTAGTTTACCTTGAAGTGTGTGTGTGTGTGTGTAAGGGAGGTGCAATTACCTGAGAGAGAGAGAGAGAGAGAGAGAGAGAGAGAGAGAGAGAGAGAGAGAGAGAGAGAGAGAGAGAGAGGAGAGACTGGTGGTCATACTCCCCACACTTAGCCACAACCTCGCGTGTATACTATAAGGCCAGGAGGTATATAGCGTGTTATAGTTCTCACACACACACACACACACACACACACACACACACACACACACACACACACACACAGTAATACTTTGATGGACATACAGCCGCTGTACTATCGATATTTCTCATTATAAACTGTCTTTTTTTAATATCAATACTCTAATTACTTTATTAATGATAATATTCCATGTTTAATAAGTAATATTGTCATTTTTTTTCCATAGTAAATATTCTGTTTATCGTGTTTTGATGTGGTTGCAGCTCCTGAGGGCTAGAAGGACACACACGCCTGCCACTCTTCGGAAATTTAGTGTTCTAATATCGACTGGGAAGACTGAACGCGGTCTCTGATATTTACGGATTCACTCTTCTTGGGACTATCATATTAACTCAGGGTTGTGTTAAGAGGTTATTACAGTCTTGTGTGTGTTTGCTTGTGTGTGAGTTTGTGTATGTATGTAAGTATATCATTTAACGTACAAAAGACTCAGATGTGTTCACTAAACTAACTTACTGACTGAATGAATGACCAGAATGCACCAATTTTCTCTCGACTGTAACCCGTAAAAAAAAAAAAAAACGCGCCAAGTCAAACTGTAACATAACACATTACCCACCACAACAATTAGAAGGTAAACGTACGTAAATGAGCTACCTTCAAACACACACACACACAAACAAACGCTCGTACAGTAATGAAAATCCATGAATTTAACATAACATACTGCAGGCAATCTCCAAGCCTATTTCCACCACATAATATGCATTACTGTCTCGCTCCGCCCCATGTTGATACACAGCTTCGTATACAGAAGGATAGATGAGTGTGTTCCTCCAGCTGCTTGTTCCTACCATTGTTCTGGATAATGAGGGGGAGAAGGGGTAGGGAGGGGAGGTGGGGTAGTGAGAGGAGAAGGGGGAGGGGAGGTGGGGTAGTGAGAGGAGAAAGGGGAGAGGAGAGGGAAAGGAGAGGGGCAGGGGGGAAAGGGAAGTGGGGTAGTTAGAGAAGAAGGGGGGGAGAGGGAACCGAGAAGAAGAGGGGGAGGGGGAAAGGGAGAGAGAAGGGGTGCGGGGAAGGGAAAAGAGAGGAGGGAGGTAAGGTGGGTGAGGTGTGTAAGTGTGTAATATAATCACCAGTGACAGGTAATGTTTACAGGTAACTTTTATGTATTATACGGATGCATATAGACATTGTGAATGCATCCAGACATTGTGAAAGCATATAATGTAGACATTGTGAAAGCATCTAGACATTGTGAAAGCATATAGACATTGTGAAAGCATATAGACATTGTGAAAGCATATAGATAATGTGAAAGCATATACTGTAGACATTGTGAAAGCATCCAGACAACGTGAAAGCATCTACACATTGTGAAAGCATATAGACGTTGTGAAAGGAAAAGCAGCTTACTTTCCCTCGTCACAACACACACACACACACACACACACACACACGGAACTGACGACTCCATTCACCTCGTCTGACAATTCATCTCACAATTTTCCTTTTTTTTTTACTCAACAACCAGTGCACCAACTCTCGTGTCACCTGAAGATTAGACACCCCCAAAGCTATACCTTGACGGGGTAGGGTAGGGTAAGATTAGGTTAGTGTTAGGGTAGATTAGCGTTAAGTTAGGTTAAGCTAGGTTAGGCTCAGCATGGGTAAGTTCGGGTAAGTTAACATTAAGGTGGTTAATCTATCAGGTGAAATAAAGAGAAACATTCAGTAAGACTCCTGATTGCATACACTCCATGACGCATAATAGCCTCAAGAACCAGGAAAAGCTGTTTGAATACTCTTTCTAAAGGCTCGAGGTAATCTCCAAATGGAAGCTTCTTTATGAAATGTTATGAACCCTCGACCAAGACCTTGAACTATGAACACCCGAGGCTTAAAGTGTAGCCCAGTGAACGTTTTATAAGAGGAGGTGAACACTGTTGATATGGAGGTGTTCATGGGAGTGTGTTCACGCTTCACTGATGAAAGATTTTGTTTCTTAGCTTCCAGTTGTTCACGCTTCACTAATGAAAGATCTTGTCTCTTAGCTTCCAGTTGTTCACGCTTCACTAATGAAAGATCTTGTCTCTTAGCTTCCAGTTGTTCACGCTTCACTAATGAAAGATTTTGTCTCTTAGCTTCCAGTTGTTCACGCTTCACTAATGAAAGATCTTGTCTCTTAGCTTCCAGTTGTTCACGCTTCACTAATGAATGATTTTGTCTCTTAGCTTCCAGTTGTTCACGCTTCACTAATGAAAGATCTTGTCTCTTAGCTTCCAGTTGTTCACGCTTCACTAATGAAAGATTTTGTCTCTTAGCTTCCAGTTGTTCACGCTTCACTGATGAAAGATTTTGTCTTTTAGCTTCCAGTTGTTCACGCTTCACTAATGAATGATTTTGTCTCTTAGCTTCCAGTTGTTCACGCTTCACTGATGAAAGATTTTGTCTTTAGCTTCCAGTTGTTCACGCTTCACTAATGAATGATTTTGTCTTAAGCTCCAGTTGTCACGCTTCACTGATGAAAGATTTTGTTTCTTAGCTTCCAGTTGTTCACGCTTCACTAATGAAAGATCTTGTCTCTTAGCTTCCAGTTGTTCACGCTTCACTGATGAAAGATTTTGTTTCTTAGCTTCCAGTTGTTCACGCTTCACTGATGAAAGATCTTGTCTCTTAGCTTCCAGTTGTTCACGCTTCACTGATGAAAGATTTTGTTTCTTAGCTTCCAGTTGTTCACGCTTCACTAATGAAAGATCTTGTCTCTTAGCTTCCAGTTGTTCACGCTTCACTGATGAAAGATTTTGTTTCTTAGCTTCCAGTTGTTCACGCTTCACTAATGAAAGATCTTGTCTCTTAGCTTCCAGTTGTTCACGCTTCACTAATGAAAGATTTTGTCTTTTAGCTTCCAGTTGTTCACGCTTCACTAATGAAAGATCTTGTCTCTTAGCTTCCAGTTGTTCACGCTTCACTAATGAAAGATTTTGTCTTTTAGCTTCCAGTTGTTCACGCTTCACTGATGAAAGAACTTGTCTCTTAGCTTCCAGTTGTTCATGCTTCACTGATGAAAGATTTTGTCTTTTAGCTTCCAGTTGTTCACGCTTCACTAATGAAAGATTTTGTCTCTTAGCTTCCAGTTGTTCACGCTTCACTGATGAAAGATTTTGTCTCTTAGCTTCCAGTTGTTCACGCTTCACTGATGAAAGATCTTGTCTCTTAGCTTCCAGTTGTTCACGCTTCACTGATGAAAGATTTTGTCTCTTAGCTTCCAGTTGTTCACGCTTCACTAATGAATGATTTTGTCTCTTAGATTCCAGTTGTTCATGCTTCACTAATGAATGATTTTGTCTCTTAGATTCCAGTTGTTCACGCTTCACTGATGAAAGATTTTGTCTCTTAGCTTCCAGTTGTTCACGCTTCACTGATGAAAGATCTTGTCTCTTAGCTTCCAGTTGTTCACGCTTCACTAATGAATGATTTTGTCTCTTAGATTCCAGTTGTTCACGCTTCACTGATGAAAGATTTTGTCTTTTAGCTTCCAGTTGTTCACGCTTCACTGATGAAAGATCTTGTCTCTTAGCTTCCAGTTGTTCATGCTTCACTAATGAATGATTTTGTCTCTTAGCTTCCAGTTGTTCATGCTTCACTAATGAATGATTTTGTCTCTTAGATTCCAGTTGTTCACGCTTCACTAATGAAAGATTTTGTCTCTTAGATTCCAGTCGTTCACGCTTCACTGATGAAAGATTTTGTCTCTTAGCTTCCAGTTGTTCGCGCTTCACTGATGAAAGATTTTGTCTCTTAGCTTCCAGTTGTTCACGCTTCACTGATGAAAGATTTTGTCTTTTAGCTTCCAGTTGTTCATGCTTCACTAATGAATGATTTTGTCTCTTAGATTCCAGTTGTTCACACTTCACTGATGAAAGATTTTGTCTTTTAGCTTCCAGTTGTTCATGCTTCACTGATGAAAGATTGTCTTTTAGCTTCGTTGTTCACGCTTCACTAATGAATGATTTTGTCTCTTAGCTTCCAGTTGTTCATGCTTCACTGATGAAAGATTTTGTCTTTTAGCTTCCAGTTCACGCTTCACTAATGAATGATTTTGTCTCTTAGCTTCCAGTTGTTCACGCTTCACTAATGAATGATTTTGTCTCTTAGCTTCCAGTTGTTCATGCTTCACTGATGAAAGATTTTGTCTTTTAGCTTCCAGTTGTTCACGCTTCACTAATGAATGATTTTGTCTCTTAGCTTCCAGTTGTTCACGCTTCACTAATGAATGATTTTGTCTCTTAGCTTCCAGTTGTTCACGCTTCACTAATGAAAGATCTTGTCTCTTAGCTTCCAGTTGTTCACGCTTCACTAATGAATGATTTTGTCTCTTAGCTTCCAGTTGTTCATGCTTCACTATTGAATGATTTTGTCTCTTAGCTTCAAGTCCTGGACACCTTGAACGCTGAAATATAAATGTGACATCAGAGTCTTTCAAGTCATCACATATGAACCCCTGAAACCCCCTCTGAACCTATGAATGAAGTCTCGAACACAGTCAACACAGAAGGGGTTTTTTCGTGTCTCTCAAGAGGAAACAACAAAGTAAATAGCATGAAAAAGTTTTGGAAGTCTTATCCAGAATTCCGAGCATTAATAAGACGCCAAGATTTTAATGCTTACTGTATGAACCTTCCTCATTCTTAAACGAAGCCTCGAGCGCAGTGAACACTCGGGCCATACTAGTCTTCGAGGCTTCACATATGCAGTATGAACTTTTATCTTGTCTTAGAGAGGCTTTAATATCAAAGAACGTGACACTTTAATTTGCATATCTGAGCGAGGCTGCCATTGTCTCACGTCTGTTTGTTGATACTCCAGCGAGACCTGAAGCTGGTTCATAGGAGTCGAACAGGCGAACAAGAAACTTAATTAAATCCCGGGGTTTTTCCTCCCCAAGTGATATTTTTTTTGACCCGGCGATAAAAAATGATCCCAAATTTAGATCGTCTGATAGAATGAGACGGGGGTACGACCTTTAATTAACTGTCGTGGTGCTCAGGTATGGTGCTCAGGTGTGATGCTCAAGTGTAGTGCTCAGATGTGGTGCTCAGGTATGTCTGAAGTGTTGTGACCACCCTTCCAAGACATTAATCACAAGGAGAAGTTATCTTGATTTCTTTCTTTTACGGACATATTTCTCAAGTAAGGTTTAGGTTAGGTTAGGTTAGGTTTAGCCAGGGTTAGGTTAGGTTAGGTTAGGTTAAGTTAGGTTTGTAGTGTGTCATGAGGTGAAAGAGGACGAAGACATCCAGGTGTTATTCCGGCACGTCATGCAGGTAAGTACCAGCTCAGGTGTTGTGCTTTATAATGAGTGTGTGTCGTGTTACCTGATGTATGAATGATGGTGCTCAATGGTGTTCATCTGAGATCTTCCTTTCACACTCTTACTCCTTGATGCTCCTAAATACATACGCATACACGCATGTCCACCACACGCTATATTCACACCCATGTCTGCTTTTGTGTGTGTGTGTGTGTGTGTGTGTGTGTATACGAATGTTCACACACATCTTCAAATTAATATCAATCATGACTGTGTTAATAACCTCGTAATTAACATATTCACATCAGTATACTACAATGGTCACCCCCACACCATGGCCACATACCACCATGGCCACATACTACCATGGCCACACTATCAAGACCACACTTCCAAGACCACACTACCACAACCACATTATCAAGACCACACCACCCATGGCCACACTACCATGGCCATATACTACCAAGACCACACTACCAAGACCACACTACCACAACCACATTACCAAGACCACAACACCCATGGCCACACCACCCATGGCCACACTACCATACCAAGGCCACACCACCACGGCCACACACAACCACGGCTGGTGAACATTGGTTTTCATTATAAATTACGTCATAAAGTATTGGCTTATAGACTCCAGTGAACATTACTTCTCTATATAATTTACTTCACAATAACAAAGTAATAAAATTCACCTAAAATACAAAGACAAACATAAAAAAAAAAAATTATAGATGTTTTAAAAAAATCTCAAGTTCTCTTTACCTAACAGCCCTCACTTAAGATGCCAGGTAAAAGGTGTACAGTGAATCTTGTCCGCGTGTGTGTATGTAAATTTAACCACGGTGTATACGGTTAGTGTTGTTGTTTTAATGAGTTTAAGTACTTCCCACGACAGCCTGGCTCTAGAAACAACCTTTACCTCGTCTTAATTTCGACTCAACGGAGAACTTTTGAGGATAATAGATTTGTGTACGGCGGTGGGTAGCAATGACACGGAGGGGAGGGGGGGTGAGGGGAAGAGGAGGGGAGTAAGAGGGGTCAAGAAAGAAAGAAAGAAAGGAAGAAAGGAAGAAAGAAAGGAAGGAAGGAAGGAAGGAAGGAAGGAAGGAAGGAATGTGTAGGATGGGGTCTTGGAGGAAATAGGGAGGGTAGGGGGATGTAGTTGTAGGTAGAAGCTAAGAGAAAAGAAAGAGGGACGGAAGGAAGAAAGGAAGGAAGGAAGGGAGGAAGAAAGATTTTTAAAAGGAAGAAGGAAGAGGTGTAAGAGGGCTAACTAAGAGGACTGCTAAGCCTGGCAAAGACTCACTCCCACCCCACACAACCTCTGGCACGCTGTGAACTGAAGCCTTCCAGGTGAATATTTAAGGTGTTGTCCTCCTGTGCTGAAGGTGGGGGTTACGAGGCTAAAGGTCACTTATGAGGCTAAAGGTCACTTACGGGGTTAAAGGTCACTTACGAGGCTAAAGGTCACTTACGGGGTTAAAGGTCACTTGGCTCACCTAAGGATATATTACCTTCAAACATTCAGATTTAGATCCGCAACGTGTGTGACTAAAGACCTGACCTGCCCTGACCTACCCTGACCTGACACAACAATCTTATTTTACCTAACGTGACCTTCCTTAATCTAACCTAACTTAACTTGACCTTACTTAACCTAACCTAACTTAACCTTACCTAACCTAAACATACAGGTATTAATTTTTATTTTAGGGACAATGGTTTAATACCTCGAAGACAATGGTTTAACCCCATGAGGACGATGGTTTAACCCCTTTATACCTAGTTTAACTCCTCTTATTCTTACCCTTCCTCCTACCTCTGCCCCTCCCTCTCCTCCTCCTCCCTCTCATCTCCCCCTACATGCTACCATAAGGGGTGAAAATATAGAACCAGTGTAATATCCACCACGGCTAATGGTTTACCAGAGCGTGAAGAAATCTATCGAGGGCGACCAGGCAGAAGGAGTCGACCCTCCATCTTTTTGGGGAGAGAGAGAGAGAGAGAGAGAGAGGAGAGAGAGAGAGAGAGAGAGAGAAGAGGAGAGGAGAGAGAGAGAGAGAGAGAGGAATGCCAAACACACAAACAACACACTACATCTTCCACTGCATGACCAACTCAAAACACACCCAAGAGATGCAGTAACACTCAGGATAGTTCCATGTCTCTCAAAACACTAAAACATTGTACCACCTCCTCCTCCTCCTCCTCCTCCTCCTCTCTCTCTCTTCCTTCCCCTCATCTTCCTCTCCTCCTTCTCATCCTCCCGTTCCTCCCAACCACTTCCTCCTCTCCCCCGTGCTCCTCCTCCTCCTGCAAGTCGTGTACATGAATCCACGACTTTCACTTACTTGTTACTTAGGATATTTACAAGCGCTCGGGATGGGATTACCTCGCCTCCTGACATAATCATCTTCATTGTTATTTCAAGGGAGTGAAGAACGCGCGAGGGATTGTGTCTGGCTGGAGGCGGAAAACTGTTTTCCTGTACCAAAGCGTCCGTCTGTCCACTGGTTTGTTGCTCCTGTGTTAAATAATAGTGTCGTGTTATTGTTGTGTTGTGTTATGTTTCTGTTGTGTTGTGTTATGTTCTGCCGTTACACATGAAATGAGTATATATATATATATATATATATATATATATATATATATATATATATATATATATATATATATATATATATATATATATACGGTGTATGCATTGTATATCTTATACATACGAATGATGCACTAGATTTAAGCATTTCAAATTTGAGTAAATCTGATGATGAATATACACCATATTATTTCCAACATGTACGGCTCCCTAAAACCCATGACCTACTCCAACCTATGACCTACCCAACCCATGACCTATCTAACTCCCATGATGGAACCTATGAGCCATCTAACCATGATCTATTTAACCCATGAACTATCTAACCCATGACCCATCTAACCCATGATCTAATGTAGGAACCTACACCCATTCTACCCTAACCCATGACCTATCTGACTCCATGCCCTACCTGACCCATGCCCCCATCTAACCCATGACCACCCAACGACCCATCTAACCCACGACCCATCTAACCATGACCAACTTAACCTATGACCCAACCACGACCCATCTAACACATGACCAATCTAACCCCTATGACCCATCTAACCCATGACCCATCTATCCCATGACCTTATAAACCCATGACCTATCTAACCCATGACCCATCTAACCCATGACCCATCTAACCCATGACCCATCTAACCCATGACCCATCTAACCCACGACCCATCTAACCCATGACCCATCTAACCCACGACCCATCTAACCCACGACCCATCTAACCCATGACCAATCTAACCCATGACCCATCTAACCCATGACCCATCTATCCCATGACCTATCTAACCCATGACCTATCTATCCCATGACCTATGTACCACACGGCAACACCCACACCACACGGGACGACAACCTCTATTGATCACGGAAAAAAACAACTAAATAAATAATTAAATAAATAAATACGTAAATAAATAAATAAATAAACAAACAAATAAATAAACAAATAAACAAACAAATAAACACATAAGTAAATAAATATATAAATAAATAAATAAATAGTTACATTGTCCCTACCATCAAAACGGAGCAATTTATATCAAACTGGGCGAAACAAAATTACTCACAAACATTTTCTGTGTGGGGGAACAACAATGCCCGAGGGTAATAATAATACTACTCTGAATGTTGTATAAATAACCCCTACCAACATATTACGGTTCTCTTGTTCGTGAACCGTAACGTGAACAAATTCTTTATTATGTAACCTAGATTTATTGAGTTTTTTTTGTGTTTTTCATTAATAAAGCGAGAGAAAATTGAACCTATTAATTTGAACACACACACACACACACATATATATATATATATATGTAATATCCAGAAATTTCAGAGTAATTTCAAATGCCCCGCCATGAGTGATACTGAGCGTTCAAGGTCATCTGAGGGGAGGGAGCGCTGCCTGCTCGTAGCGAGAGACTGCGGAACTAGGCCTATATGATATTAAATGTAATTTACCGAATTAATAATGATGCGATTCATGAAGTTAAGGGACTATTATTGAATTTGAAATTATTATAGATCGTTTAGCAGTCTGAATAATGTTACGGGTGTCCCAAGGAGTTATTAGTTAGGCGGTAAATATATCACGTAGGCCCAAGCTAGCGCCTTGGGGAGACACGACGCTGGCTAGCCCAGTCCCGGAGAGCAGTCACACAGACAAGACGTTCCGCGCGTCCATCAGAAATAGTCACGTGGCCTAGTCACCTGTGCTGCGCTATTGCAGTATAACAAGTAAGTCTCATTCGATCTCAGACAGGGTTAGATAGGGCAGTGGTAAAGTTAACTAGAGCTAACAGTGAGTTCATTTCAGGGTTTCCGTCAGAACCCACTTGACTGGAGTTGACCGGAGTTGACTGCGAGAGATTGACTGCCGTTGATGATTGAGGGTGGCGATTGTCGCCATTGGACCGATCAGTGTAGGCCTGTCACTGTTTAGCGGGGTAGCAAAGGATC